TCCCTGCAAAGCTTGAAAGCTTCGGCAACCTGCCCTCACCCCAGCAAAATTTTCATAGAATTAGAGCAAGTAATTGATATGTGTGAGTGAACTTCAGGTGTGTTAACAGTAAAATGTGTACAGTACATGTTATATATACATCTATATATACACACCGTGCTGTCTTGTTTGACTGTCCAAGGATGTCACATTCATCACGGGTCCCAATAAAAACAGAGGCAAATGAGGCATGCATCTTTTTGTATGTCGTCTTTTGTACCTCAGTAACTTCAAGTCAATAAGAATATTGCCATGGTATACAAATAGTTCTTCAAGTTGCTCGGTCTTGATTACTTTATGTAAAATAGCTCTAATAAACCTATTTTATTCTTATATTTCTTGCACTGCCTTTATTTTCAGCTACCAGCTAAATTTTGTGCTACGAGACCATAGCATAGGAGCAGACAGAAGTACATTTCTCCTCCCTGTGAAACAGCCTTAAAAGAAGCTGGAACGTGTATGGTGGGGGGAGTTGTTGAGGAATTTTGTTGTAGGAGGACTCGGAAGATTAGGGCATCTACCTCCAGGACCTGTCTCGAGCAGTACTTGAGCTGAGCAGGACAGCAGTCGCAGAGCTGGCTCTGCAACCGCGCAGGGAATCCGGTTGCCAGTGCTCCTGGCTCAGAGCCCTCCTGCCACGTTAGGCAAAGTCTGGTTGTTCGTACTTCAGCGTTACATTTGGTCCAGGAGACCGTCTGCTGATGCTGCCCATTTCTAACTTGGGAGAACGGCCTCTGTTCCATCTCAGCCTACAGCAGGCATGGCAAATAGCACAAGACCCAGAAGACCGCATTTTAAATACAGTCTTCTAGGAAAGACGCGCTGCCCATCTCGTTGGGGTATTATTTCCCATCATTGAAATTTGTTTAGGGTTTTAATTAAATATCTAATTCTCCTTCACCATCTTACCATAGCAGCAAGAAAAGTAGTCTTTTCTCACTGTGCCCATAGTGCTCCTATTACCGAAACCCATTACTCCGGCACGCAGCCAGCAGGAGAACAAAAGGTTTGTTTTTGTTCTTCCGGGCAGGACGACGGCGAGATCCCGCACGGAGCACAAGCCGGCCAGTACAGCTGTGGGGCGAGAAGCTGCTCAGCTTTCCAGTCACTTTACCCAACAGCAGGTTTTGTTGCTGGGCTGCTGTGAGCGGAATCAACCTTCATGGATCTTGCGTATGACAGCCAAGAAGAAATACCTCCAAGCAGAGCTGGAGCGAGAGCAGCAGACAGCAAGCGTAGCACAGGAGTCTAGCTATCGCTATGTTATAGTTGCCACAGTCTTCCCAGGGACTCTTCTTTCTAGGAGGGGAGATGGTGACAGTTGCTGCTGTGCAGACCACCAGCCTGAGGCCTGTTACTTCTCGGGTAATTGCAAGCTCCACAGCCGGACGGAAATAAAAAAAAGTTTGCACCTTGCCATTAAGCCCGCGCCCCGTCAGCTAAATGAAGAGCAAGACAAAGTTAGCAAGATAACAGACTGGCTTGGCAGCTCCTGCAATTAATACACACTGGTCTCAAGAACATGTGTTTTCATTTAATAGCTTTCATGCTATTTGACTTTAAATAAGTGATACCGAACTACTGAGCCAGAGCACATCTGAGCACTAGCAGAAAAAGCTGTGGCAAGACACCCTTGTCGACATGCTGGGGGTGCTGCCCCCTTCTCCCCAGGCTGCTCCCAGCCGTTGCCTCCTCCTGACACCACTTCTGTAGCCTCTTCCCAGCCGCTCCCAAGGTTGGGGCTCTCTCTCCAATCGCAAAAGAGCACTCGGAGCAGGCACTGCTTCTACCCCATCTTCATGGTTGCATTGCTAACTGCTTTCATGGCTTCTCATGCAAACTTCAGGAGCTGGGGAGTTTTATACAGTTTATACTGCAGCAGAAGTCAGATATTCTGTGTGAAAATCATCACTGTTTGAGGTCTGTCATCTCTTTTTCCTGTCCTAAACACTGACATGCGTCTATCCACACATCTGGGAATACGCTCGGTTCACCTGTTTTTACTACCAGCATGCTTTAGACAGATAAACAGAGAATATTGATTGCTCTGATAGCATATACCTGTGGATATTACTCCTCTGTGTATTAGGAGAGATCATTACAATTTGTTTTGTCAGTGTATTTTAGTGTTGATCAAGATACGTGTTTTGGTTAGATCGCTTTTTATATTTTCAATTGTTTTGCCCTTCAGACCAACTTACATACACTTAGGAGTACAAATTATTTCAAAGTAACAAGCAATACTTACCTGAGTTTTATCCATAATTAGAAGTCAGTTTTTTTCCGTAATGTGGGTTGCTTGCTGCCCACTTTTGCAGGGGATCCCAGCCCGAACATCCCCGCTGTAGTCGTTCCATAGCACTGCAGGATTATAACAGGGGCAGTTCCAAAAGCACATTTGCAAAACAAAAAGGCTGAAAATGCTCCGTTTGCTTTTTAAATCCTAGATAAAGGATAAGAGTTTCAATCCCAAACTCCACAGAGCGAGTCAGAGGCACGAACCAATAGCAACACAAACACGCCACCCCAAAACAAAGAGAGAGCCTTTCTAGTAAGCCCCAACAGAATTCACAGTCATGCATCACCGAGGTCTATGCTTGCTGCTTTCATGAGCATCAGGAATTGGGATTTTTTGGTTTCTAATGGCAAAAGCTAAAAGAGTAAAAGCAAAGGGAAAAGCTAGAAAAGATTCAGAGAGAGCTGATGGACATAGAGACCAGACAGAGGCAATAAACACGTAGTAATTAGGACGAAAGAAAAGAGCCCATGAAACAGTTGGCTTGACCCGAGTAAGAAAAGGGAAGCATGCTGTAAACACGGAATGTTTAGAGGGGAAAAAACCAAACGTGTAGAAGTAACTTTGCTATGTATTTTTCAACTAATAGTTACTCAAAACAAGTCAGAAAGTGAGAATGTAAGGCTACAAATACATTTGTACTACAACAGAAACACATGCTGAACGCAGCGCACTGTCCTGGAGTTCTGAAACACAAATGAAGAGAAGTCTAGAAGGACTGAACCAGCACGAGAAGCCAGTTCAGAAACAAGTTTTTAAAGATACCTGCTAGAATTTTAATTTTTGCATTTGTGAGGCTCCTGGCTGACAGTTATAAACCACTCATAAATCAATGAAAAGCGTATTTTGAGCAGGCTGAGAAAAAACAGACAAAGCCGAAGGGTTCAGTGCTGTGAAGGATTGAGAGTCACAGCTTGCAAGGATGTCATCAGCTGCTCGGCCAACAGAAGTGTTTAATCCTGTTTTAAAAAGGGCAGAGCAACAAATTTTAACATAGTTCTTCACAACTACCAGATCCTAATGCACAAAAGAGATGCATTTAAGATATCTACGTTCAAAACAGATGACTGAACAACATAGATACAGAGGGAGCGAGAAACTTGAATGGGTGCAGGACTGGAAAGGACTTGAAAGCAGGCAGCACAATGGAAATTTGGGACCACGGGGAAAGCATCCCTGAAGGCTAATTCCATGCACAAGAGAAGACTTTCCTGAGGTTGCGTCTATAGCCAGAGGAGACGAGCTTCTCCAGAGCTCTGATCAGAGCATTAGTCTAAGCAGATGCTCTGAGTCACCCATTTCCCTAACCAGAGGCCTTTGAGAGTGTCCTCCTAGCTCATAAGGCACCTGAAACGAGTGTTACTGGTTAACCTCAGATGCCTTTTCTCCATTGTAGCAAAAAAAGGCAGAACGTGGTAAACAAGATACTTAATCTGTTCATAATAAAGACACATGCCTAAACATGGCTGAAAATAGGACTTCGGCTTCTCAGTAGCTTCAGGGAACGTTTTCAAGAATACGTAGCAGGTCAGTTCCTCAGAAGCTTATGATGAAAATGGCTGGACTACAAAGAAACATGAAAAGATCAAAGTGAGATCTCAGAGAAAGTCCGTCAACAATCTTTATGAAAATAATCTGTTGTTGCTAAAACAGAGTTTTGTTAAAAAGGCACGGGATTAAGTCTTCCCAGTTTTCAAGTTTGGTGTGATGGGACACAAAGGGACTTCTTTCCATTTCTCCTTCCTGAAGCTTTCAGGCAA